GTATGCCACGATCAAGCCTAATCAGTGACCATCGTTTTGCCTCTCGTACTGTGGTGTAGCCCACTCCATCGTGCAACGCTGAAATAAACTTCTGAGTCAAGTAAAACATATCCTTCACAAAAACATAAGCGGGCGATCCTTGGAGGGGTCTGCATTCAATGATTCGCTGGTTCGTATCAGATACATTTGGTAGCCTCAGCGCTCACGTGTTTGGGAGTCCCACGGCTGAATAGCAGTATTCTTAGGAGTGAATGCTTTTGTTATTGTGGAACCATTCCCCCACTAACCAAGGATCAACAGATTGGGCTTTATAGACTGATGATGTTTCAAAAGGATGTGCTAGGAGTGGTGAGCACTACCTAAGGAGATCCTTAAGGGTTCAGGAGAGCCTTCTGGGGCAATTTGCTGCACACTAAGGGCTGTCAAGATGGACTATGGGGTGATGCCCCTTCTGCCTAGCAAGTTTATGCTCTTCACTGTCAATCAGTAAAAAAGAACAGACTTCCTTAAGGTTAAAAAGTATCAGCAACCTAAGATCGAGGCTGCGATCCGATTTTGTGGTGTAGTCCTCTCGGTGAATGCGGACGTATGTTTCTGTACAGTTATTCAAGACCAATTCACAGAACCTAGCTTGCCAACTTCAGAAATTACCTTCAGGGTTAGCCGAGGCCAGTGATAAAATGCGGATGGCTTCAACTATGCCTTACAAGTAATGGAACCAATACCTAACTTTTTCACGTCATTCCTCACTCTGTTGCGCGGGAAATTAGTCAAATTTGGATCGAGCTTCTTGTTGTGCTGAGTTGAAGTAGATACCCTGCCAAGGTTGTCACCGTCTCACAGTGCGGCATGTTTTTGCCCCAGCCTGCTAACATTTTATCCAGATTTTCCTTCGGCGTTAAGCAGATGAAAGATTCAAATTCATCACTGAGAAGAGCTGTTCTGAAGCTAAGCTAATATGAAGTAGCTCCGGGTCACGGAGTTTTCTTTCCTACTTCCATTCGAGCTTGGGCTCTAGGTATTGGTAACTAAAGGGGAGCACTAACGTTTTCGGTGGTTTTACTGGAGTGATGCAACTTCTGCCGATTGAAGCTAATTCTGATGCAGACCTTAGCTGTAAGATGACCATAGTCAATTCCATCTGTCGGCTTATTTGGTGTAAATACCGAATAGTTTGGCCCCATGACATAGACACAAATGCCGATCTGCACTGGATGGGCCACTTCTCAGTGCTTCACGATAACCCCTCAGAAGGATGGGATCGCAGGGGCAATAAGTGTATTGTTAGCAAAGCTCAAAACCCACCTCTCGGGCTCAACCACTGACCTTCCTGAGACAGAACACACAGGCATCCTTTGAAACTATCACCAGACAGAATGGAGGACATGTGTTTGTCATAGGAGAAACTGAACCAAAACACGGTCAACATTTCAAGTTAAGCAAACGTCGTGGAACCCCCCAAAAGCAAGCAAATCAAGCGAAGCTTTCTGTCAGTAGGGCTTGCTGCTTTAAAGTTGTCTTCAAGCTCAAATTACTGAGAACCGAAGTGCAAGGCTGTCTCGTGATCCAAAACATATGCGTGGTTGGGCTGTACGGACTACAGTAAAGCTTTGAAAACAACCACACGTGCTTCATACGGACCATACTCAGTTTGTTTTTATGTATAAGTTCAGATGAGGACCCTATATCTTGTTGATTTCCTGGATTATTTTGGTTTACATGCAAACGACGTTAGGGCGATGAAGATGACTTCGGATTCGTGTGGGACCAATTATATGGAACATTTGCTATTTCCGCGAATACTACTAAATTATTTCTCCAGACCTGGAATTAACGGAGGCGACAGACAGGCGCAAAATAAAGTTTCTGGGCTTGTTCGTCAACGTTTCGTCACGCATACTGAAAGCTGTGAAAGTACCACGAGTTCGCTCATGGTCTTATACCACGTAGAAATCAACCGGTGGCCCAGTATATGGCTCCCCATGTAGCAATTGACTCATTTCGTCGGTCATGCCACTTCATATCACTATTAAGATGTGTTGGCGTTTGGCACAAGATAAAACTCGCAACTGTTGTGATCTGAGTACATCCTGCAAAAAGAAGAAAATAGAAAGATGACCTATATGCCACGCTGGCATCCTCAAAAACCAGGGAAACTTACAGGGAAGCTGGAAAGGAAGGAATAAATGGGGTGAAGCAATGAAGGAAGATTTGGTTGTGAAACATAAAGTACGCTTATGGATACTTTTTCAAAACCCAAAACTCTAGAAATTCAGGGGCTGCAACTGTGTGCCAGGAGGACGCTCGTTTGAGACACTAGGGTGATCCCAGGGGGATCCACTCTACTAACTAGACAAGAACAACATACTTGTTGAAAAGCTCCATTGTTCGGAAATGTATGCACCAGGTGGCCGGCGGATCATGAGGAGGTAAGGTTAAATAAAGTGCACAGTGGTGTGATTGCTTGACCGTGTATATTTCGCTAAGCAGGTTCTCTAAGTGTATGGACGTTGCATTGAAATCGAGAATAGTCAAACTGTATGCAACTGACTTCAAAGATTTATTTGGTTTTGCTGAGCATATTTTTCATCAATAACACATACTGTGATCTATGAAGCCAAACCTAAACAGGACAGGAAGAACACGGTGGTGACGTAGGGTGTCCTGGGGGAGGGTGTCGAGCAGTATCTGATGGGTTCATATAAATTTAGTGGATAGTTGTTGGTAGAGTCTTATATCACAAATTGTGTGAAGTGAGAAAAAGGCAGAGCTTCACTCGGGAATGTCCGTCATAGAGGCAAATGTACAGATGTTTTGAATAAAATCAGTAAGTCCGTGTCGTCATCTCGCATAAGCGTCTTTTCTCCTGAGATCACAAGAAGCTTCAGAAAGGTAGTACGAAACTTTTGAAAGGTTTTTCTAATCTTATTTGTAATAATCAGAGGGGCAAGTGTAGCAGGTGTAAAAGCGGTGTACGTCTGTTCCCACTATGAGAATCGATGACTGTCTCTCTTAACCTTCCTCCCTTTTGCAGTGTCAGGCTCTGGTGAATGTGATCCCATAGCTTTTACCGACAGCACTTTTGCCATATAAGTTCGTCTCATCTTTGTACGCAGCCTCTGCACTGTGTACCGTTCAGACTTTTAGGAGAGTTAGCATGTGACGACTACATGGGCAGCCAATATTCCAATAACGGTCTCCGATGGGAGTAAGAGGATGTGAGAAAAAGAGCAATAGAAAGTTTTCGGAAAGTTTGGGATTAGGATCCTCTGCAAACTTTCAACAGGTAGCCTGGCACAAACAGTTGGAGTAGGATTGAAGGGTAGTAGGGGTATAAATAAATTAAACAGACTAGACATTGTTGCATTCGAAAGAGAACCTGTGTCTCATAAGCCTTGATGCCGCACGCGTATCGCCTCTGCCTACAGGCCAATCCCTCTTCTCTCTTCAGTTTCGAAAGTTATAGAAAGGGCCTTAAATGACTCGTTTCGTGTTTACCAGCTTAGGGATTCTATCCCAGGTTGCTGTCTACACATGCTCTTTATTTGGCAGGTGGTGTTACATCAGCTTGTTGATAGCTTGGTTCAGCTGGACCCTACTTGCTGAGTAGAAAACACTCACTCTTCTTGATTCGCTTGGCTTTCCCAGGGCCCTCGACATGACATCCTGCGTAAGAGGCTTCAGCTTGTGGGTGTGCACGTAAAGTCAACAAGTTGGCTTGGAGATTGTCTCTCCACTGGGCTGTAGTGGGTCAGATTTGGCCCCCTCTTTATCTTGTTGGTTCCCAATGCTGGTTGGTGTCTTGCCCGTTTCTGTTCTTGGCCCGCCACCGTTTCTGGCTCTCACTAGTGGCCTACCAGGATCCCTTGATTCTCATTCATCATTATGTACCGATGATCTGAAGATTTAGAAGGAAATGAATGAGCCAGTGGCTATTTCGGTCTTCCAGAATAACCCTTCCAAAATTTCAAAGTAGATCTCTGAAAGCTTACCTCCTCTCAACTTCCAGATGTTTAGTACAGCTATTGTTGAGAGTTCTTATTCACTGGAGGAGATAAGGCCCTGTCGCTGAAACATTTTAACGGACCTGTGAATCACTCTAATTGGTCTGTCGTCACCATGCAGTTATCAAGGCCTATGACGTCTTTGGGTTTCTTTAGCGACTTTTAGGACGTCTAGCTCCAGGCCTTTTCACCACGGTGTGTGGACTTTATGGTCGCCTTCATACTGAAAAACTTGCCCGTGATGTCCCCGTACCTGAAGGAGGATACTTCTATCCTACAACGGGTTCAGAGAAGATCAACGTAGAAAGTAGTCGGATTACGACAAAACCTGACCCCGATCACCCAGTCGCTCTTAACCTGAAACCTGCCCGACATCCGGGGGATTATGGCTGATGTGATCGTGATGTATCGCACTGTTCATGATCACCTACATCCCAATGAATTCCTCTTAAGCTTGAACCTGAGATGCCACCTTAGGGACCGGCTGTTAAGAATGCAACATGAGAGCATGTTAGAAGATCCATGTTGGCTCGTTTGCAGTCAGAGTTTTTAAACTGTGGAACTGCCCCCCTGGAATTTTCATGCTCATTCCCTGGTAATGTCGGAAGGAGGTCAGGTGCACATTCAGAGTCCCGAGTACCGCTGAGCTGTTCTCCAGATTTCCGCCACCTGTAGATCAGAGGGAGCAACTACTTGTGGAGAGCATACTAATTGCTAATCGGGTACCTCTTTTCCTCCTGGTTTTCGTAACCAAAAAGACAACTGTGACCGTTCCAAACCAAGAAAGTACTTCAATAAGGCAGATTTAGAACTCAAGGAACCATTGTTCCATAATTCCACAACACGAAGTTTGAAGTCAGTTGTCATTTGAGACTCACTTGTATTTTGTGAATACAGACGAACGAAACGAATCAAGCCCCAAGACCTAGAAGTGAGGTCTCAAAAACTACAAGTTTCCTCTGCTTGCACAGTTGACATTGTTTATTGGATAGGAGAGTGGTGGCGGCACCTCCGTAAGATGAGGCTACCCCTCCAATCTGTAGCTTTTGGTAATATTGTTAAATGAAAATCGATGATCAGCGCGCGCTCCTTGAACAGTGACGTGTTTTCGCTCGTCTCTCAGCTTTTGGATTTTTTTACACTGAAAAACTCCCACTTGCAATACTCAGTCTAAAAAGATTGAACGTTTGCAGCACTTCTGTTCCTGCACGCACCTCACCGCTGCGTATTCGTCAGCTCACTTCTCAACAGTTGAAAATTGGCATTATTATTCCTTCGAACCAACCGGTCTACCTCCTGTCAGTGGTTCTTGGGCCTTTCAACTGCCAAACTGCCTTAGCTCTCAGTTCCCCTCGGAGGTCATTCCCCAGGAAATATCTTTCCTGGTTATACATACACATCTGGAACCTACAGTTAAACTCGTTGGTCAAGAGCAGAGGATCAAGTGTCTGAAGGTGAGCCAACATAAATTGTCTTCCGTTATCTATTCTGTCCTTTTGCTGCATTCAATCTTCAACCCTCTTATTGTTGTTAACTATTTGTTTTCCCAAGAGGTTTATATTGTGGTGACATGTCTGCCCAAAACGCTAGACCCGAAGCTTTGACACGGATGACGCGGTCCTGCACAAAAAGGGACAATAGCGTCCGAAACAACACTAGTCTGTACCCACAGACAGAGGTAGGGCAGAACACCGAGCTTCTAAAGAAGTGGCCAACCCATGTTTCTAGAATTCCAGTCGCCATCAGACAGGTGACATAGAGTAGCACTAGCCCGTCACAAACTAGCCATATCTTGGGCAAGGATCATACGATGCCTGAAAACAGAAGACGGCGTAAAAGGCTTCGGAACAAGGCGGTCACAAGCGGTTGGCCACAATCCTTGGCACTGTCTTCATGGAAGAAGGCTGCATTACGACACCCGATGGCTGCAGTGTTTGCACTGAAGTTGTTTCGGTAGTCGACGAGACATTTGCATGCAACCTATATCACCGATGGGCTCATTGCCACTGCGACACCAAAGTCCCCTGACAATACTATAAGTTGATGAAGAGACAACCGTGCAAGTGGTTCTGGTACGTCTGTCCAGAGTGCAAGAAGATGTATGCACTTCACACAGAAAGCCTGAAGGAGATGCTCTCCGCCACGCAAAAGCTACCAGTATCCTCGAATAAAGTAGGGTTAACACTAAAGAATAACACAGAGAGACCTGGAAACAAACCTAGAGCTCCAGCTGCGGGCACGCCACCTCGCTTGGGGACCACATTAGGTCAAGTCTCCATACCTCCTACCCGGCCTCAGAGGACGTCAAGCGCATGGCCAAAGACATCGAAACCCACTCCAAACATCCCACACACCGTGACTGAGAAACAACCAGTGGAATTACTGAAACCCATTGGGAAGTCGGGCATGCCACCCACAACGAACCCAGGTCACAAGAGGACCAACTCGATCATTTAGTTCAACGTCGATGTATCGACAGACTCATTGTTGACCGAGAGGGAACGGTTTGACAGCCGAATGTGGACCGACTACTGTCAAATGCTGGGACTCCCTCCCCTCCCTGACACTTTGTGTCGCCTTTCTGTAGGAAGCCGGGCACCCCGAAACAAGCCACCCCTTTTACGTGTGTCCCTAAATACTGCCAAAGAGGCTGAAGACACCCTCTTCTCACGACTGCTGGCCTCTCAGAGAAAGTGGGTGATGCCACACTCTGGGGACCTAACAGAAACGCATCGCGCCTTGACTACGTTCTGACGAACGATGAACTCATTGAGGACGTTTGCATCCAACCTCCCCTTGGCCTCAGTGACCACGCTGTAATCATCTCCATGATTACTAGGGAGGCTCTGCAACTGGAGACGCCCAACACCTTCCCTTGCTACAGCAAGGCCAACTATGAGACCATGAGGGACTATCTCATGAATGCATCATGGCCGGTAGACTGGGCTCATCTCACAATAGATGAACACTGGTTGGAGGTGAAGAAAATAATCACTGGGGCCATCAGTCACAGTGTACCAGAAGTAACACACAGACAATCAGCGAGAACCTCATGGTTAAAGCGTGGGACAGAGGCTTATCGAGAGCAAGAAGCAGGCTTGGTTCAAGTGGCGTTCATCACGCAGGGAGTCCGACTTCTTGAACTACAAAAGGATTCGCAACCGCTGTAACATTAGAGTGCTTGGCGACAGATTTTCCTTCAAACAAACTTGGCGGCGAGGTTACAAAGCAATCCCAAAAACTTGTACCGCTTCATGTCGAGAAGAAAGTCGACCAGTAAGGGAGTGAATCTTGTCACAGGCCATGATGGGAGTATACTAGGCAGTCTAGAGATTGCCGAGCTTTTGAGCTCACACTTCCAAGCCCAACTTGGCACTGACACAAGATCCACACCGACTCGCTACGACACCGACCAGGTCGTAAATAACGAATACCTCTGTCACGTCTCTATTACAGAGAAAAAAGTGTTCGAGAAACTATCTAGGCTACGTCCGGGCAAGTCCCCTGGCTGCGATAACCTAAAACCAGTGGTTCTGAAAAACTGCGCCGAGGTGCTTACAAACCACTTCGCAACCTCTTTGAGCACTCAATAGACTCGTGCAAACTCCCTAAAGAATGGAAGAGTGCCATCTTGTCACCCATCTTCAAGGGAGGAGACAGAAAAAGCCCTGGCAGCTACAGGCCAATTGCTCTACTCCCTATTGTGTCGAAAGTGTTGGAAAGCCTGGTAGCTGACACCATCTGGGAATTCCTCAATAGGGAAAACACTGTGCATACTGCTCAGCATGGCTTTCGGAGTGGTCGCTCATGTGCCACCAACTTACTAACTGCCTGGGACGACTGGACACAAAGCTGGGATGAGTAAACCGGTACATGTTGTATTTCTCGACCTAGCCAAAGCATTTGACAGTGTCCCACCCACAGTACTGCTTCACAAGATCATGTCAGCTGGTATAAGTGAACCCCTACTCTCTTGGTTCAAGGAGTACCTGGAAGGGAGGCAGTTCTGCACTAAAGTAAGCAGAATAAGGTCGGAGTGGAGACCCTCGACGTCAGGAGTATCCCAAGGAGCAATCCTAGGACCGCTTCTGTTCCTCCTGTTTGTCAACGATCTGCCAGATAAAATATCCTCACCCATCCTCCTCTTCGCTGACGACATTAAAATTTGGAGGGTGGTAAACGAAGAAGCTGATTGTACAGCACTACAAAAGGACTTGCAGCAACTCGAGCTCTGGTCGTCGGAAAATGGCCTGAGCTTCAACCTGGAAAAGTGCAAAGTAATGCACATCAGTAAAAATGAGCAAGTACGACCGACTTCCAGTACATGTTGAGCAACCGTGCTATCACCAGAGTGTCCATGGAGAAAGATTTGGGGCTCAACTTCTCCGACACCTTGGACACCAGCTCCAACTACAAAGGTATGACAACCAGAGCGAACGCCATTCTACACTTTCTGCGTAGACAGCTTGGCGCCCTCACTCCCGAACTCTTCCTCACCATTTTCAAATCCTACGTGCGGCCGCATCTAGAGGTCTTCAATACGGTGGCTCCTCCAACACTCAAGAGAGACTCTAATCTCCTTGAAAGAATACAAAGAACTGCAACAAAATCAGTTGTGGGGCTAAGGGGAAAGACGTATCCTGAAAGACTTAAACACCTAAACCTATTTACCTTGGGTTACTGCAGGAAGAGGGGTGACCTCATTGTGGCATACAAGATCGCCCATCAGGCAGACCATGCAAACAAATCAAATTTTTCTCCCTAAGAGTATATGCTTTATGGAATGCCTCACCACGACATATCGTTATAGCTCCCTCAGTCAATTCACTCAAGAGACGATTAGACAGTTATGTCACCTCGCACGGACTACCACGGACGTACTCAGGTAGTCACCAACCTCACTAGCCCCCAACTCCCTCCTAACTACCACTCACTATCTCCCTCCTTAGTACACTCACACTACCCACTAATTCTTCTGTAAGAACCAAACCCACGCGACCATTCGGGCAATTCCCGAATACTTTTCTTTCGTTCTTATTTCTCTTTTCACCCCTCCTTTTCTTCTTCCCTTATTATTTTTTCTTCTCTTTATATATTTTATTCTCTCTTCATTCTTTTACCACTACTTTACTATTCTCTTTCAGATATCTACACAGACAGGAGTCACAACAGCTCCCTAAACATCCCAGCAACCCGTAGCTCCCCAATCACTCTACAAATTACAACTTACTAACCCACAAAACATCCACCCCTCCGAGGCTAAAAGCAAGAAAGCAGAGGGGATTTTCTCGTCCACTGCGGGAGTGAACCGAACAACTCGAACCAAGCCCTAGGAACTAGACGCGAGAGATCAAAAACTACCAGTTTTCTACGCTCGCACTATCGATATTGGATATTGGAAGTTAACTGGAACGTTATAATGTCTGATACTTGTCAGCTCCAAACTTTGCTCAAGGTGACATCAGTGAAAACTGACATCCAAGATGAATTTCTGACCCACTACATTAATAAAATTATTCGAATAATCCTTTCTTCAGAATCATCTGGAAGTATGCAACATTTTTCCCTTTCAAATCATTTAAATATTACACGTATATATATATATATATATATATATATATATATATATATATATATATATATATATATATATATATTTCATACGAACACGTTCATTTTTCAGACTGGTAAATAATGAACCAGAGAATTTCACGAAATTGCTGAAAGTACTGTCTGTTATAACTGATTCATTTAATACATTAAATGATCTTTTTCATCATTATATAATGATGATAAAGATCTTTATCAATTTATTATAGTATTTCTGATGATGTCCTTTGCTAGACGGATAACTGTCCTGTAGTTATATGGTTTCTGTCCTTGGGGTTTTTCCACTATGTGCTAAATGTGGATTTCTATTGTCAAGAGCAGAGATGTGCCGAGTTGCCTGTCAAACTAGTCTGAAACCTATCCAGGCACCCAGTACAGTCATGCAACCTCCCTAAAGAAACCAATCGCGTCTTGTCACCCATCTTCAAGAGAAGAGAGAAAAAACCCTAGCAGCTATGGACCGATCGCTCTACTCCCTATACTATCCGAAGTATTTGAAGGTCTGATAGCCGACAAGATCTGGGAATTCCTTAACAGGAAAACACCGTCCATATTGCTCAGCATGGCTTTCGGAGTAGTTGTTGATGTGCCGCCAACTTGCTAACTGCCTGGGACAACAGAAAACCGGCACATACTGTTTATCTTGATGTAGCTAAAGCATTTGACGGTGTTACGCTCATAGTCTTGCTTCACAAGATCATGTCAATATAAGTGAACCCCTACTCTCTTGATTCAAGGAGTAGCTAGAAGGCAGGCAGTTCTGCACCGAGGTAAACAGAATATGGTCGGAGTGGAAACCATCGACGTCAGGGATATCCCAAGGAGCAATCCCGGGACCACCTCTGTCCCTCCGGCTTTTCAGTAACCTGCCACACAAAATTTCCCCACCCATCCTCCTCTTCGCTGATGACACTAAAATGTGGAGGATAGTAAACGTAGAGGCCACCTGTACAGTACTACAAAATGACCTTTAGCAGCTTGAATTCTGGTTGTCGGAAATGGCTTGAGCTTCAACCTGGAAAAGTGAAACGTAATGCACATCAGTACCCATGAAGCAAGGATGGCCGACTTCCAATATATGTTAAGCAACTGTGCTATCACCAGAGTATGCATAGAAAGAGATATGGAGCTCAACTTCTCCAACACCTTGAACACCAGCTACAACTGCAAAGACATGGGAACCAGAACGTACGCCATTTTGCACTTTCTGCGTAAACAGCTTGGTGCCCTCACCCTTGAACTGTTTATCACAATTTTCACTCCCTACGTGTGGCCGTACCTAGAGGTCTTCAATTTGGTGGCACCGCGAACACTCAAGAGAAACTCTAATCTCCTTGAAAAAATACAAGCATCTGCAACAAAGTCAGTTGTGTGACTAGGGGGGAAGACATACTTTGAAAGACTGAAGGACCTAAACCTATTTACCTTGGGCTATCGCAAAAAGAGAGATGACCTTATTATGTCTTACAAAATCACCCGTCAGGCAAATCACGCAAGACAGCGGTCATCACGAGGAAACCCCATTAGGATAGCACATCAGAGAGCTAACTCCAGGGTCACGTCCGACTTTTTCTCCCTGAGAGTATGTGCTTCATGGAATGCCCTACTGCAGGATATAGTCACAGCCCCCTCAGTAGACTCATTCGAAAGACGGTTATACAGTCATGTAATTTCGCATGGTTTACCACAGACAAACTCAGGGAGATACTAAACTCACTCGCCCACCATCACTCCTCTTTCATCTATCACTTCGTAATACACCTACATTATCCTCTAACTCTTCTTTAGCAACTAGACGCATGTCATCTACTTTTATCTTTCGAGTAGTTCGCACATACTTTTTCTCACTATCCTACTATTCCTATTCAGACACACACAGCGGTCATGATAGACCCCTAATCTTCCCAGCAACCCGTAGCTCCCTAATCACTCTACAAAATGCAGTTTGCTAACCCACAAAACATTCGCCAAAGATAAAAGCAAGAAAGCAGAAGAGGTTTCTTTGTCCACTATAGAAGCGAACCGAACAACTCGAACCAAGCCCCAAGAGCTAGACCCGAGAGATCGGAAGCTGTCAGTTTTCTACGCTCGCAGTATCAATGTTGGGTGTTGTTGGATTACTACGGAAATTAGTAGGTTGTTACTTAATATTCAAGTAGTTTAGTCATTCCTTGTAAAAATGAAAGTATAGGACGAATGCAGCACATTGGTGTTAGAATGCCATGCTGGTCAGGTGAAGGAGTCCTCATACTAAGGTGTTACAGTCAACTAGTCCTTTCGGTAGCGGAAAACTACAGTCACACTTTAAAGCTAAGCGAATAGTTTAGGGCGGTCGTCCGACTATCTTTTAAGGTTTTGGCAGTTGAAGAGTTCAGAACCTAAGCGTCATTTTTGTAAAAATCTAGCTCACTTCTGTCCACCTGTCTGATGTATTCTATTTAGGTACGAAAGTGCGCCATACGAAACCGTGTTAGTCGGAATGTTATCATTTATCAACCCTTAGTTCGAAGGATTCCCTAGTGATATATTGAATTTTTTTATTCGTAATTATTTTCTGGTATTTCGGTTTGGTTAACAGTACAACGTTAGATTGCGGAACAGTAAATATTACTATGCTATACTGAATAAACAATCTAATTTGAAATGAAACTCCACCACAGTATCTAGATCTTACTCTTAGATTGGTCGATAGTACTTCCATGGAATTCTAAAGCTTTGTGTGACACTTTTCGCACTCTTTTGTTCTTTGTTTCTATTTGGACAGTTTTTCATGCACTCCACTTAATAAAGGTATGTGAAATTAAGCCTGTTCACCTACTTTGCTTGTAACAACATGCTACAAAACACTAAGAATAGATAGTGAGTGGCAGTGGAATCCAGGGTATGCGTTTCTTCCTGAATTTCATTGCCAACCACTATCCATCATTAATATCAAAAACTGAAAATACAGTCAATATCGACGCATGCGTGCGGGAACCCATATGCCAATAGAGACCGATCAATTCGGTCTAACCAACAACAGGATAATACAATCACTAGCATATACTACAAAAATTTTAGACTAGATTTTATAATTCTGAGTATTCTGACTGCTAGAAATTTCTTCCACTGAGGTATATAAGTACTGCTTAGCTTTAACGGTTTACCAAAGCAAATACCTTATAATTCCATTTAAAGTACCTGTTTCACAAATTTAGGACATCTGGCGTAACGAGAATGATATATTGTGGACTAGTATAAATAGGAGTGAAATATAGTGTCATTTATATTTGCTTTCAGGAAGCTTTATGAGCGATATATGTAATAGTTCACAAAAAGTATGAATGGATACTAGAAACGTAGCGTACCTTTACTGTTTTAGAGCTGTATCGTAGAAAGTTATTCGTAGGATCGTAAGTTTGAGACATGCTGTATTTGATGTGGACCAATTTAGACACCCCTATTTTTTATTTGTTTAATTTCCCCACAGATTATTGGGAGGTTGTAATACAAGTAACTACAAATTTTTAAATACTCTTACGAAATAGTACTATGACTTTACTGTTTCTGTCAGTGTTGAGGTGCCTGTAAACTCATTTGTTCGTATTGTGATCAATACCAATCATGACAAAATAAGTGATGAGAAATAAAGTTACTCAAAAGGTGTACTGTATGCTTTGCTTTACTATAAGTATTGAAAAAATCGGGATAGGATAAGTTAGCTCTATGTTCACTATAATAACATTCAAACTCTTGTCTTGTGTATAGCAACGTGCGTAGTTGCTTTTTTTGTATGCTGATCTATGCAGACTGAAATCATCTAAATTATTCAATATTTTGTAGAGCCAACACTCAAGTTGAGGAAACGTTTCACATTGAATTTGTTCACGATTTTTTAACTGAGTAGTTGATGTGGAAACCATTTGCATGTGTGTGTAGAAATATAATCAAAACGAATACTGCTCATAAATGCCTCTTCCCAAATCTCTGCATTCACATCTTCACTCCTGTCCACAGTTAACAGTATGTACAGCCACTAAAACCACAACCGCTTTTCTTGTCTTTCCTGTTATTTATATGTATTTAGCGCGGTTCAGATGTTCATAGGAATAAAATTCTTTTATTTTGTACAACAAAAGCTGATGTACTTTTTAAAATCAACTTTCTTATTTGTGTGGTCACTTATGTGAATATCAGTTAGTCAGTTTCTCAACTTCCATTATCCACACCCCACTCCACCTACTGAGGTCTGTGCAGCCAGGTAGTATCACTAGCCCTCACACAACAGGTGTGGCTCATCGCTTACGGTATGGATGTGCATAAGGGGATTATCCATATCAAGTTGTCAGTGTGATTTTGTCAGGTCGTTGAGTTTTGGTAATAAAACATACACCTAACTTACGCTCGATACCTGTTCTTCATTTTAGCAGACACCGAGATCGTAATATTGTCTGTAAAATGTTTGATCAATATATGTGCAACTTCTCAAGGAATACATCTTTTAACTACTATGCTATCAGCTAAAGAAAATCATGAAGAGTTCACTAAAGCTGTTTCTGCTTTTGCTCTAAATAATTCCAAAAATATTCCTGAGCTAAAATCTTCAGCCGTTGCTTTGGTTTCAAATTTGACTCGAGATCCTGTGTGGTTAGATCTCTTTGGCAAACACTTCGATAGTCAACACATCAAGACAATTCTGGATTCACATTGTTCCGTCCAACAATTTCTCCCAGTGAGTTGTTTTTACTCAACAGGGTTGGTTATTGTAGATCATCCTTAATTTAACTGCCAAACGTTCAGTACGTTGCTCACTATCATCAACTGTACTACCAACATTAATTGGTCTCTTTCCAAAGATGAACTCCACATCAGACAAAATTCTCATAGCTGGCATAATCAAAAATTGTTCATTTGAAGATGGTAATTCATTATTTTTTCATTTATTTTGAACGTGGATTCAGAACTTCACTGTAAATTACTCGATAAAAGTGCAGCTTTACTTGACACATTGTTAATTCCTTTGTGCGGACCAGAAGATTGTATTAACGAAGAAGACCGTGGTATATTACCTCATTCTGTTCAAACTGTTTCTGGCAACTCCCAATTCCCCCGTTTGTTTTCCACTGAATTGTATCTCACAATATGCCAGACTTTTCTACAGGTGAGATACTTAACATTTGTTAATGGTTAGTCTTTTAGCTTTGTGCCACTGTTCATGGACGCACAATTCTTCGCTCCAATGGGGTTTATTTTATTTTACGTGAACTACATAAGTATATATCAAAAGTTGAAGAACAAATACCACCTTACCAAACTGAAGAGAAAACATCTAATAAAGAATTATTGTTTTATGTCGAGCAGGTAGTAGATCAACTTATTTGTGAAGAGAATGAACGCGACAAACAGTATGCCGATTCAAGCCTTAGAAAAATTACTATAGACCAGGTAACGGAAGAGAAACTTGAACAAGCGAAAAGAGGTTATTTAGGATGTAATTAATATATAGTTGGTCGAATATATTTCGTATTCTTGTCTCGTTAGTTCTTCTTGCTCAGTGTTGTCGTTGCTTTACATATTAAGAATCAGAATCTGTGATCACCTTATTGACAACGTACCTCTATACCTTGCGATTTGCTCAATAAAAAAATGGCAGTTTAATGAATGAAGAATATTCTTTTCAGTAACTTCCTCCTCAGTTTCTGATAGAAATTCCCGAACTGTTCAATATTAACAGTTGTCTGCATAAAAAATCTCTCTGTTGATAATACGTTTACTCTTTGACTAAGCAATACCGATATATAACTATCGAACCTGAGGAAGAAACTACTGACAGGAATATTCTTTGATCATTGAACTGTCTTTTGAGTTATAGTCGGGTTTTCAAAGAGGTAGAATGAAATGAAGTTTGAATCACACTCACCCTCCAACGCTCGATTAAAATGTTCTATATAGTTTATCTGTCGGTATGCGAGACATGCTTTCATGCAAAACTGTATTCTAAGACTATGACATTGAATTTTGAGGGGAAACAGCTGATTTGTAAATGAATACAATCGTTCAGTGTTGTAAGAGGCTACCAGGTTTAGCCATGTGTTACATTAACTAAGCGGATTTTCAAACTGGAAAGTTTTTTTATTCTGTGATCACTTCTAGCAATCAGTAGAGCAACAAGTTTTGAAGTCTCATCTCGTTAAGAAATGAATATCGAACCAAAAATAGTTTATTATAAGACTTATTCTTACAGCTCCTTACTTGAGTATTTTGGTTTAACCACTGCGCTCCAAAATAAAACCCAGTCTCATTGGTAGTATCGACTATTTACTACGCTTACTGAATTTTGGTGATACATGTTAAAATATTACAGACGCATTAAGTGGGGGATATAGCTTATCAGAACTTCGTCTCCATCTTTCCAAAATTCAGGCCAGTTGAAAATGTGTAGAAATATTGTGGTCAGCAAGTTGAAAATCACCTGTATCTTAGATGTGAGGCATTGGTTCTTTTCCTTACCATTATAGTTGGAGGACACTATTGCTTTAGAAACATTCCACGTATCGAGGAACCACCACGTTATTATTACCGAGGTTAGATAAAAGAGTTGAATCATTTGATGACACTACAGAGCTTCATCGACGGAGTTGGCGAAGATGTAGGCTGCGTATGCCTAGTTACCACCTACCCTGATACTCGACTTTGACGGAAGTAGGTTTAAAGGCAGCCGAGCTAAAACATGACACTAGTCTATGAAATTTCTACTAGTCTGACCTATGTAAGAAGATATAGGCCACTGATTCAGGGCCCACGGGACAACCGAAAATGATGCTTGAAGACCAGGTGATCCGGTGCACAACCAACCCCAGTGTTGCAGACGCATTCATGCTTTGTCAGAATGCCTACATCTGGAGCTGTGGCTCATTGGCTTAAGGAGACGATTTTCAACCGACGAGCCACTGACTCGAGTCCTTCTTCGCCTACTGAGGTTTGAGTAGCCGGGTAGTATCACTAGCCTTCACACAATGGGTGTGGCTCATTGCTTATTGCACGTATGCACAAGTTTGGTGAGTGCACTTCGATAATGCCATACTTCGTTATTTTTTCCACACCTTCCCATTCTTCTCATCCTATGACTTTCTATGGTTTTCAATGATGCCATTTCCACCTCTTCGTTTTCTATCTTAATGCGAAGTGTAACAACTTGAATCGTCATGTCCTATTTTCATGACTGAGTGAATGAGATTTGGAAAGTAGTTGAAACCGTTTAAAAATAAGAGGTTTATATTCACTCAGGTTATTTTTGTCAATGTGCACTAGTTCATTAGCAAAGCGTTTGAAAGCTTATCGACTGGAGCCAGAAATTGTTTTCAACAAGTCTACGGCCAAAAATTCCAGCCTGGTTCCATAGGGGTGAAAGAAAATGCATTAGAAGTTCTATCCTTGAATATCTAATCGATTCCAACCATCATACTGACCCCGAACAATGATTTTAAGGTTGTCTATCGAATTCACGCGAACATCTCATGTTTCCTCCGTCGTCAACTTCTGAAAACAGCAGACGCCTTGACTATCCATGAACTGAAGCTTGACTTTTGTGTCCGAAAGAAGTACCTACAGTGTTTGTCTCTACTTTGGCCTTAAGTTATTTTGGTCTCGGTGTGTTTCGTCTCTTTTTTGTTTTTTCAACTTCTCCTTTAGATCAATCTTTGTACTCTTATATGGCGATTATCATTTTTATTTCTACATTTAATAGTTTCCGGTGTTACTTCATTTGAGCCTCCAAATAGTTGCAACTTTTGACAAAACATTTTCAGTTTATTCCAGTTAACTTGTCTCATTCCTATTACCTAATCCTTTGATTTTGTTTATCAACTCTACCATGTTTTCACTCCTTTATAATCTATATGTACCTTAAAAAAGACTTTAAAAATCTTACTGCACCTCTTTTTTTGCTATCGTTCAACCTTCATGTCATCAACTAGCAACATTATTGTGAATATAACCATCGTTATTGTTATTTCAATCTCCCATTATTTAAGTCTACTTTTCCTCACGGATTGCAGTTTTTCTATAGAACGTATATATATATATATATATATATATATATATATATATATATATATATGGCCTGACGCGTGATGTCCCCAGTCGGCCTTCTCAGTGTATACCCAATCTACTTCCTTCTGCATATTTGTTGAGTGATAGGTTCTTGGTTGCTTCGTCACCAGCCAGAGTTCCTTGTTGCGTATTCCTTCTGACCATCTGATCTTCAGTACCGAGTGAGCGTAGGCGGCAGTTGTTGATGAATGTCTGTAGTTCGTTGGAAATGCCTTTCGTAATGCGCCAAGTTTCCGAACCACATAGGAGCACTGACTTGACGTTGGTGTTGAAAATCTGGATATTGTTCACGCTTTATGCTGATTGCAGATGGTCTCCACACTGGTTCGAGGTTAATGAACGCCTGTCTTGCTGTCTTTCTGCTCCTGGCGTTGACGTCCTCGTCTGATACACTGCCACCTGTAGTTGAAACAGTGCTGCCTAGATAGGTGAAAGAGACTATTTCCTTTAAGTTTCTCCCGTTGATGGTGATTGGAGCTTGTTGTTACTGTTGTTGTTGGTTGGGTATCATGATCACCTCTGTCTTGTCTATGTTCACTTGAAGTCCCGTCTTCGCTGCCCTGCCTCTTCTATCAACTTTCTAGTTTTCGCCTGTACATCTTCGAGTTTGTGCGACATTAGACACAAGTCATCGGCGAAATCCAAATATTTTAGGGTCTTTTCCGCGGTCCAGTGTATGCCCCTCTTCTCGCTCCTCACTGTTTGTTGCATGATCCAGTCCACTACAATCAGGAATGTCATGGGTGACAGTAGACAGCCTTGTTTTACCACTGTCTTCACTTCAAAAGCATCACTGAGCTTCCTATTGTGAATTACTTTGCATGTGGCGTCTTAATATAGTTGTTGAGTGAGATTGATAAAGGTTTGTGGTATTCCGTAGTGTTGAAGCAACTGCCAGATTACTTCTTGGTCGACGCTGTCAAAGGCCTTCTAAAGTCGATAAAGTTGAAGTAGAGGGTTAACTACCATTCTATACTCTGTTCCATGATGAAGCGTAGCGTTGCAGTTTGGTCCGCACATGGTTTGTACTTCGTGAATCCAGCCAGCCTGTTCGGGTCGTAGTTTTGAATCTAGTGCATCCTTTAGTCTCTCCAAGATGATGCGGCTTAATATTTTGCTTGCTCTGGGTGGACAGGAGCGTGATTCTACGCCAGTTCCTGCGAAGACTTAGGTCTCCCTTCTTTGGGAGTTTGACAAGGTAGCCCGTCTTCCAATCACTAGGTACTTTCCCTTCCTTCCAGACCTTCTGCAATAGTGGTGTGAGCATGGTCGCTGTTGTCTGTGCGCCTTTTCTCAGTGCTTCCGGTGGAATTTCATCTGGTTCTGCTGTTTTCCCGCTTTTCAGTAGGTTTGCGGCGTTCAAGACTTCGACTTTTGTTGGAGGATTTGTGTTCGCTTGTAGTTCTGTGGATGCAGGTGGTGGTCGATTTAAGAGCTTTTTGAAGTGGTCAGACCATCGTTCCCTTAGTTTCTCTTCTTTGGTAATTAGATTGATTTCATCTGTGTTGATCTCTTCCCTCCCAGATAGCAGTAACCTGGTTATTTGATATAGTGTTGTCAGGTCTCTGTCTCTCCTACCTGCAGCCTGTTCTACTTCACTTGTCAATGTGTCGTGGAAGTGTCTTTTGTCTTTGCACACACTCTTCTTCACTTCTTTGTCCAGTGTAGTGTTTTGTAGGTTGTACTCAGTTCCTCTTTTCGTTGTTCATCCTTGCACTGCACTGGTGTATCTTCTGTTTCACCATCTTCCTCTCCCTGCTCTGTCAGCTTCCATGAGTCCGTCGAGATCCATTTCTTGTCCTGTTTCTTCTTCCTTCCTAATTCGGTTATGCAGGTTTCTTTCCACATGGCTTTCAAAGAGTTCCAGGTTTCTTCAGGGATGCTGCTCGATATCTCCCATTTTGTCCCGATGACTGCCTGATGTGAAGATTTCCTTTGTAGTTTCATGCTTCAGTTTCTGTTGTGGGTGTCGAACTTCAACTGTGGTCTATCACCAACTTCTTTGAAGGCTTTCAACTTGATTTTGAAGTTTCCTTGCACTGGATGGTGAGCGGTGTGAACCTACATCTGCTCGTCTTCTTGATTTTGTGTCCGGTAAGCTGCATCTCCAATTTCTTGAGCTTGAAATGAAGTCGATCTGATTTTTAGTGTTTCCATCTGGTGAAATCCATGTGGCTTTGTGAATATCCTTGTTTACGAATACTGCCTCCAATCACCAAATCGTTGAATGTGCAGAAGTTTGCAAACAATTCTCCATTCTCGTTCATTTCACTGAGTGCTTCTCGACCCATGATGAGTTCTCTTTCTGTGTTATCCGCTCCCACTTTGGCATTCATGTCACCCCACCCATTAGAATTTTGATGTCGCCAACTGAGGTCTTGTCCAGTGTTGATTGTAGTTGTCTGTAGAATTCCTCCTTCTTCTCTTCATCTGCATTATTTGTAGGTGCATAGCGTAGCATTGTACGATTGTGACCTTCCTTTTGACTTGAACCTTGCTGTTATGATCCTGGAGGAGATTGGTTCCCACTGTATGAGAGCCTTCGATGCTGTTAGGGACATCATGATAGCCACTCCAAAACTCAGTGTGCCCGACGTTGTCGTCTGGGTGACCGGAGTAGATTATTGACTCCTCTCCAGTTGACAGTTTGGAGAGTTCACTTCCATTCCACCTGCTTTCGCAAATTCCTAGCATTTCAATGCTATACCTTCTCATCTCCTTTGCAATCTGGGCAACCTTGCTAGATTCAAATATAGTGCGGACATTCCATGTCCCCACGTTTACTTTCGTTTTCACCGAGAGAAGAGAAGACACATCGGCCAATTGGCTTCCCAAATGCTTTCACCAACCGGCGTCCTTTTGCCTCTTCGATTCCAGCGAGGAATAATTTTGTTTTCATTTATTATATTTGGTTTGTGCTTTGAAGTTTCTTTAGCGGTTGGATTTGTTTTATGGATAGGGTTGCTAGCCCTATGCCTAACCTTCCCTTTTGATCCGGGCTTAGGACCGGCTAGTAACTAGTGAACCAGTTAACCAGGCGAGGTTGACCAAGGATATACTGGAGAAAATTTTCAGTTTGTGGTAACTAAAGTGTTTATAAATGAATTTGCCGATCAAACGACGAAAAATACTAACTAACCCCCCCCCTAAAAATGTAAGGTGGAAAGTTAGGCTTGTGAATTAACATTGAAACAACTCATTTTAATATAAAGGAAATGTTACTGAAACACTAAATGAAGTCATGACAATTGCCACTTCATAGTCGTTCCAAAAGAGCGAAACTGATTGTGAGGTGAACTCAAAGTAGAGAGAGAGTCAACATTTATTCACTTACTGTTGTTCATGAACGGAAATGTCGATATTGCATAAATTGCTTACAGAACATTCAGCAAACAGTATTATATCAAGTAAACAAATCTTATGTGAAATTACATCCTACAACATTGCCGAAGTCGTATTTTCGGCATTTACTATTGTGAAATCGAGACTGAACAAACGAGTTTGATGAGATTCAAGTTTGCGGCTACCGTAGTTGATCATCAATTAGGCCAATTACAATGTAAACAACAATTTTAAAAAGTACAGAAACACTTTGAAGATGTAATTGCTTTTCCAACCGTTCTTCAATCCTTTGATATTCGAAGTACTATCTGTTTCACCACTGTTTCGTTGCTGAGAACTGTGGTCAACAGCAATGTTTTTTGCTATGTATCGTCTTAAGTTACATTCCTTTCACATCGGACCTATAAGTCACATTACCGGAGTTTTGTGAACAAGGGCTAAAAATCGTCTGCAGTTTTATATGATACTGATATAGTTTCATTTTTACGGCTAAATCTCTTCCTTAAATTTTTAATACAATACGTGACCGATGAACGCTAAATTTTCTAAATGTCTGAATAACAGACAATCTCAGTGAAATTTTTTTCTTTTCGACAAAATCATTCTCTTAGCTGTACATTTAGAGTAATTCTTGATCAATGGTCAATATAAATTGCGTGAATACTGTTTCGAAAAAGGATTTTACCATTGAACCTCGAATTCAAGGGAGATAAAGCGTCAGACATACTTAAAGACTATCAAGGTTCATAAACAGAACATTCTTTTCCGCCAATCTTAAAATCACATTCTATCAGAAAGTCATTCACCAGCACACAAAGAATAAGCTGGAGCATTGGACTACATCAATGTATGTATCACTTTACTTAATCCTGTGAGCCTGGTATGTCGGCCCTACCATGCACCAGTTTGTACAACGAGTTTGCAGATAATCCAACTTCGCTAACAAGTGGACAATGGAAAAGCATCCTCGGCTGTGTAATAAAACACTTAGTCAACACTGGACATTTGTCTCCCTTTGCTAACTCCTTCAGAATTCTGTACAAAGTCCTACCAAGTCACTCAGGAGAAGTGAGGCTAAGACTTTAAGGCCATAGCTGAAGCATAACCGATTGAAAAATTCGAACTATCATGTTAAAAAGTATGCGTAGTGTTTGCCTTCTTCATTTTGTAAAGATACCAAAATTATTGACTTTAAGCTTATGTGACTGAAGATACAAAGTAATCCGTTACACGAATTTGTATATAGCCCATTAACATCTGATGAAATATTACTTCATGTTCAGTAAATAAGCTATGTCTGACAGCATTTATGATCATGTTGACATAGAAATCGTTGGGTTACCACTTCTATCTTTCTTCTAGTGGATCCAAAAGTAATTAATGCCAAAGAATTAATGTCTGTTATGCATAAACACCAATGTAAGAAAATAAAACAACCAGAAGTTAATCAAATAGTACTCTCATTCGAATTTCAATGAATACAACAAAATATTTAAGAGATAAAGTTACTCAGAAGCAACTTTTTTCGTCGAATGTATGGACAACACGATAACAAGGGTGATTTGAGTGATTTGATGACAATGATGTTTGGGAGTGGATTTTTGATATGTATGGGACGAGATTGCTTTCCAAGAACAATCTATCAGTACAGATCATAGAAAGAAAAGCGAAACGCACGAAGAGCAAAACACGGTACTCGTGGTGACTTTTAGCAGTAGAAGGAAATAAAACTTGTTTTCACATATATTAGGGTAAATGGAGTGATAAAAGGAAACAGTATTGTTAAGTTTAAAAAGAAATTTACTTGCATAGTCTTGACAAACTATGCTTATATTGTACAGTTTGTATACAAAAATGACAAGACAGACTGTTTACTACAAATCAAAAGAATAGCAGAACAGATTGTTGTTAAAATTATCATTTAAGGTTATTCCACTTTTAGTTGTATACTGCAGTCACTACAGATAAGTAGAAACTCCTATATGCTTAGAAGTTAACTCAATCTATTTCTGAGAAATATGTCAACAAATCTGGACAAATTGTATGGTAATTATTTAACCATAAATATTGGAGATAATCTAGTGTGTTATTAGAATTCTACTGGTTACCGATGTACTTTCTTTTATGATTACAACTAATCAAATATACGTTTATATGTGCACATTTACTATTACCTGCCTAATTTATTCGGGTTTGAGATCATGTGTGAATACACTATAAAGGAAATCGAAAAGTAAGGATGCTTGTGAATAGTAATTAGGTACTACAAGTTGTTATTCATCGAAGACTGACATCAGTTGGTAACGCGCTGGCCGCGGAACCTGAAGGTCGCGGGTTCGATCCCTGCAGGTGGGGTCGTGGGTGCGCACTGCTGAGGAGTCCCATACTAGGACGAAACAGCTGTCCAGTGTTCCCAGGTTTCGTTTGTTCCTCCAACTGATGTCAGTCTTCGATGAATAACAACTTGAAATATTTCCAAATCTCCACAACTCCCTCAAAAGTAATTAGGTATATTGATTTGTACTTTTAGTCGTTAACTATGCAACTAAAGTCATGAGAAGGTTTTAGTTACAGTAACATTTACAAAGGTTGATATTGAATGTGAACTTGAAGAATATTTGAAGTTGACATATTTTAACACAGAAAACTATCAGTCAGAACAATAAATCTCTATTTTTCTTGACTGAATACACTTTAAAGACTGTAAGGATGTCATAAACAAATTAAAGGTATGCCTGATTTAAGTGCAGAGCGATCGCAAATGGAAAGAAACTGCCGTTATATGAAAATTCGGTAATGTTAGTTGAGATTAGCTGGTGTGTAGTGAATTCAAATCAACAGTCCACATTGATATTATTAAATGTTTACTGTAACTTGAGTCATTTAAGATCATATGTTCTCACAGCATTATGTAAGCAACAGAGGAATCAATTAGTTGGATACGAAAATAGATGAATCTTTTTTTCAAATCCATGACCATTCATAGTTTTGTATTCATTTTTCAAGTAGTATTGCTTTGCTTAACAATGAATTTGAATATCTAGATTAAGTCTGTTCCTTAAAAAACACTGAATAACTGTTCTGATTTTAACATTCCATTGAACAGCCTTAAAAAAAATCATTCTTCTTATGGTATCTGCTTTAAACCACATTATTCTGTCCATAATAATTTACATCTCAGTCAGATAAATAAATAATCAATATTCTTTTATTTTCACATTTGTACGTTTTCATCCAGTTACCAATAAACATTCTGTTACCTTTCATACCATGGTTACATGATTGTTATCCTTTGTCAAGTAAGTAACCTTCTCGATATTTTGGCCTAAAAATAATCATGTATTATCTTTATTGCATAAATTCAATTCATGGTTTCTTTCCTTACAGTTTCCATAAGTTCCAAGTATTGCATTTTCAAAGTTTGACATCATATATCCTTTATCCGTGTCCTAGAAATGTGGTAGTCTACAAAAACATAATTAGCCTAGAGTAGAAATCTGATTATTTGGTTCACATATGTCAGAGGATGCTTCATGACTGGTCCGAATCGACTCCGAAATTAAGGTTACTAATTGAATTAGTAGAATACGCTTACCATTTCACTTACTTAAGGAGTTGCATCAGCATGAACGGGCTGGTTGTTGACGAAATCATAGCTGGAATATAAAAGGCTCATTCGCCATTTGCCAACTTAAGTCACTTTTAGCGCCACTCAGATATCCGACTACCTGTTGAAGGACTAGCATATTATGTTGCAGTTCTCTCTCTCCTATAATACAGTTGAGGCATGGTGGTTAAAAAAGTTGGTATGAAGAAGCTACAGGTGTACTCCATAGCATTGCTCATATATGGTGTGCTCACAGTATGAGCAATGTTGCACGTGCCGAGCCCGTGCACACTATTTACTTACCATAAACCTAAAAAAGAATTTCTATACCTACTACTTAAAGTAAACCTCTACCTTGGTGGTAAAGTGTAAAGATTAGTCACCAAGATGGCGGAATTCAGAAATTAGGCAGGTAATCGTAAATGTGCACATATAAACGTATATTTGATCAGTTGTAATCATAAAAGAAAGTACATCGGTAAGCAGTAAAATTCTAATAACACACTAGATTATCTCCAATATTTATGGTTAAATAATTACCATACAATTTGTCCAGATTTGTTGACATATTTCTCAGAAATAGATTGAGTTAACTTCTAAGCATATAGGAGTTTCTACTTATCTGTAGTGACTGCAGTATACAACTAAAAGTGGAATAACCTTAAATGATAATTTTAACAACAATCTGTTCTGCTATTCTTTCAAATTCGTGTAACGGATTACTTTGTATCTTCAGTCACATAAGCTTAAAGTCAATAATTTTGGTATCTTTACAAAAATGAAGATGGCAAACACTACGGATAGTTTTCAACCTATTACATAGAAAACTTGAAAAGGCAACGGGAAAGAAGGAAATTCCATCAAACGACATGATTTTCATACATCTGCAACATGAAATCTAAGTCGCCTATCTCTCATTCACTTGAATATGTCAGTCTACATAATTATCTCGTATACTTCATGGGTTAAGTGAATCTTGCAAGGCACACTTACACTTGTCTTTATGACTTACTGCTCTTCTACTTTTATTTCTAAGAAAAAATCCAGGAATTGGCAAGTAATTGACTTCATAGTTTTTTCTTGCAGACTTGTGAAGCCGTTTTGGCTGAAAATTATTTCTAACCCTTTGCTTCTTTATAAATGAATTGGATCAGTTTTGCCTGTTACGTAAGAAACCAATTTTTGAATTTATATAATAATTCGCTTGCCTCTCAGTTTGCTAACATATCCTGATGGCGTTGATATATAGCAAGATCCGGTGTGAATATTTGTTAATGAAGTAACTGTCTCGTATAGTTTTTAGTGTTCTATTAAACTACCATAGAGCTGAGTTACGGTAAACTCATGCATTGGGTTAAGGAAACTATTGAACTCAGAGGAACAACCCATTTAGGTAATTGTACTAATAACGTTGGTTAAAAGAACTAATTTAGTGCGTATTATCTACTGCTTATTTAGTTAAAGTAATACTTTACTTGAACATGAGAAAATTAACTTCGTTTTAGCCTAAAAACAAAGGTAAAAAGACATTAAAAACCCGAATGAATCAATATATTTTACATACTATCCAATCAGAAATTAGAGAGTAATCCGTTATTTTCTATATAATCACTGCTTAAGATCCACTTGATGTTTACTTTAAAGATTGAAGAATTCCATTTCCCATTATTCTTGGTCGGTCAATCCAGTAAGTTGCAGTGAATCGCATTTCAAAAATACGCATTTATAAACAAGACCTTAAAAAATACATCTAATTATCGACTCATAGAAAGCATACTGTGATGTTTGTGGAAATAAAAGGTTGCATTCCACATCATTTATATCGTGCATTTATCATTTCACTCTTTTGATTAGCAACACAGGATTCATTGACTGCCAGCATTTCAGCAAGATAATGAATAACTAAACAAAGGATAAGTGATTAGCATATGAGTATGCCATTTCTAAATATTTGACTGTGACGCATTTTTATTGAATGCATATCAAAATCAGGGACTTTAAGTATTTAATTTAGAATGTCTTCGAGATAGTGGAAATCCACTACAGTTTGCGTGAAAGCAATTTTAAGGTAGGAGCTATGTGAGTTTCAACCACTAATACAATCAGACTGCAAACCTAAATTAATTGGAATATGTTTAAGCAATCTCAGCTGGCTGTAGTAAGAAGAAGCTCAGGAGTAATTTAGTCAAGAAATGTTAGCAATTCATAGGGAAATGGTCACTGGTGTCGACATTGCTGGGAACACTGACGATCCATGTAACAGCTAAAACTGGAGACTTTAAGGAGCACGTATATAAATGGACTGAATTGTTGCGAAAGCATCCACTTCTATTTTGGCATCATTCATAAACATCTTTTCACTGAAACCCTACATTTAGTCTGAATATCGGTATCTTTTTTTCTCCAATTCCCGCTACTATTCTTAGCACTATCATGACGTCTCTTTGTTCGTATCTTGTTGATTCCGAATCGTATTTTATTACAAGGAAGACTTCTTTGATCAACTAGCCACAACGATTGGCTGGCTCCACGCTGTGCTTATCTGCTAGTTAAATACCCCCTAATTTTGTATAGCTCCGCCCGATGCTTTGCCCATGACCTTAGAATAACCTACATGGATGTTTTCACACAGTTACTGGTTTTTCTTCCCTCTGTTCTCAAGGCTGAACTCTCACTGGTTGTCAACTATTTTTACCTATATGTGGATGTAGTGTTGTCACGGTCATTTAGAAATGTATATATTTGGCATCACTGTCAACTGTATTGACTGTTGTTGAGACAGTCTGTCTTCTCTTCGCACGTCGGAGGTATTGTTGTGATAGTGGTTGGTGTCCTGATTTGTGTAAGAGTCGACTTCTTTGCACATTAGATTTCTATCGTTTGTAGTCTGCTAGACCCGTAGACTGTTAAGTCATACAAGCGATCACAGGACTGCCTTTCTACTAAATGCCGACGACTGGTTACATATGGTGACAATAGGGGTCTGAATACACGAAAAATTGAGGCTATTGAAACTTACTTCAAGTGACGAAATTCATGAGTTATTACATCCAATTTTTATCATTATAGCACCATTTTCATCCACATTTCTGGATATTTGAAACGATACTTACTTTTGAGGAATACATGTACTTAGAAATCGTCAGAGACGTTGTTCGAGATCAATTATTGTAGTCGAGATATTCTCACTTTCTTCATAAACCCTACTATTCTTGATTTCTTAAAATGTTCCTTAACACAATATTACTCATTTAAGTATGGTTATTTCTGATAGTCGTTTGATCTTCTCAGAGTTCTGTTCTTCAACGTTTCACCATCAGACTAGACGATTTCATTAGTATTCACTTTATAAAGAAGTTGCTTTCGATGGATTTCATGTTATCAATTGTGGCACAGTTCTATCGTATTCATTGTAGTTGAAGGTAACGCGTATATGAAGATTTCATGTTTATTATGAAAAATCGGAATACACTCAGTAATCTAGTGTACATCTGTGTAGTTGACAGTGAGCCACACCTACCGTCTGAGGACTAATAATACTATCTAGATGTCCATGCCTCAATAGGTGAAGAGGCGTTCGGATTCATCAACTACTAGTTGAAAGTTAACTCCATAAAGTAATGAACCAGTTACACAGGTGTTTTATTTCTTAGAGGAATTAACCATACTGTAGCATCAACTGGTGTGTGAGATTAAAGTATACAAATATCTTTCACTAATAGGAGGATTTTGGCTGAAGTTTTAAGTTCTTTCTTTTAAGAATTTGAGAGAATATCAGATTAATTTCTGTTTCATATGCATTTAAGATACTAAAATTACACTGAATACAACTGCTTAGTTTACGAATTATAAAAGGTCATTGATCTGTTAGATAGACTGAGATAATCACTAAAGGTGCACAAAAATTAATAATTTCCAACAAATAAAGCCCGGTAAATACATTAAGAGATTGGAAAGATCTACACGAAAACCAATGCACAAAGTGATAAAAAACGATTTGTTATTTTTCTGATCCGAACGTAATTGACGATCAATTTTTCAAAAATGACACAAATATTACCAGATGAAATAAATGAATCCTTCTCCCTTGGGTTCCAAGTGGAATACATGGCTTCAATAGCACCCCACCATTTCACTCTATTCTCTACAGTCTCCTTAACCTGGCTCCAAGACTGCTCATAACCTTTCATTTCTTCTTCTCATGATCTACTCTAAATGACCTTCGGACGCCCAAATAATCGTTTCGCATATGGGTGCAACTCAAAGGATTGGCACGTGATGTCACAAAACCGTCTTCTCAGTATATGCCCAAGCCATCTCCACTTTATTCTTCAGCACATATGTTGGGCGATAGGTTCTTGGTTGGTTCGTTGCCAGCCACAGAGAATTCCTTGTTGCTTGTTCTTTCTCACCATCTGATCTTCATTATCGAGCGTAGGCAGCTGTTGATGTATATCTGCAATTTGTTGGAAATATTCTTCGTATGGCGCCAAGTTCCTGAATCATATAGAAGTACTGACAAGACTGGCATTAATGTTGAAAATCCGGATCTTCTGTGTGATGAGTGCACTATATCTCCACACTGATTTCAGATTAATGCAAGAAGGCCTGTCTTCCTGTCTGTCTTTCCCATCCTAGATTTGACGTCCTCATCATCTGTGCCTGTGCCCCCTGTAGTTGAAACGACGGTGCCTTGGTACGTGAAAGAGACTACTTCATTTAGATTTCTCCTGTTGATGGTGATTGGTGCTTGTTGTTGTTGTTGCAGGTTGAGTATATTCATCACCTCTGTCTTGTTTATGTTCACGTGAGGGAAGTCCCGTCCTCACTACCCTATCTCTTCTGTTAACTTGTTGGTTTTCGCCTGTAGATCTTCGAGTTTGTGCGACAACACATGACACAAAATCATGATGGGCGAAATCCATATCGTGTAGGGTCGAACAGTGTATACCGATCTTCTCGCTCCTCACGGTTTGATCCAGTTCAGTCAAGTGGACCACAATGAGGAAGGTGATCGGTGATAGAAGGCGGAACCTTGTCTTACTCCTGTCTTCACTTCAAAGGCATCGCTGAGCTTCCCAATGTGAATCACTCGGCATGTGGCGTCGTCATATATCTGTTGAATGAGGTTGGTAAAGGTTTGTAGTACTCCGTAGTGTTGAAAGTTTCCAAATTACTTCTCGGTCGATGCTATCGAAGGCCTTTTCAAAGTGGATGAAGTTGAGGTAGAGAGTTGACTGTCATTCTCTGCTCTCTTCTATGATGATTGGTAGGGTAGTGTTGCAGTTTGATCTGCACATGATTTGTTTTTCCTGAAGCCTGCCAACCAGCCTGTTCTGGTTGTAATTTCGAATCCAGAGCAGTTTTTAGTCTCTCGAGGACGATGCTGTTTAATATTTAGTTTGTGGGTGGACAGGTGTGGAGCATGATTCCGCGCCAGATCTTGCAAACACTTAGGTCACCCTTCTTTGGGAGTTTGACAAAGTGGCCCGTCTCCCAATCGGCAGACAGGTACCTTTCCTTCCTTACCTACTTTCCAAACCTTCTCCAGTAATGGTGTGAGCATGCCCGCTGTTGTCTGTGCGCCTGTTTTCAGTGCTTCTGGTGGAATTTCATCTGGTCGTGCTGCTTTCCCGGATTTCACCAACTTTGTGGCGTTCAGGACTTCGCTTCTGCTATTGTCGGAGGGCTTGTGTTCACCTGTAATTCTGTGTCTGGGCTGCTGGTGGTATTTTTGGATGAGTTTCAGGTGGTGGTTGTGGTCGATTCAAGAGTTTGTTGAAGTGGTCAGCCCATCGTTTCCTTTGGTTCTCCTCTTTGGTAACTAGCTCTCCTTCACTATCTTTCATTGGTTTCATCTGTGTTGATCTCTTCCCTCCCAGATAGCAGTAACCTGGTTATTTGATATAGTGTTATCACGTCTCTGTCTCTCCTACCTGCAGCCTGTTCTGCTTCACTTGTCAATGCGTCGTAGAAGTGTCTTTTGTCTTTGCACACACTCTTCTTCACTTCTTTGTCCAGTGTAGTGTTTTGTAGGTTGTACTCAGTTCCTCTTTTCGTTGTTCATCCTTGCACTGCACTGGTGTATCTTCTGTTTCACCATCTTCCTCTCCCTGCTCTGTCAGCTTTCATGAGTCCGTCGAGATCCATTTCTTGTCTTGTTTCTTCTTCCTTCCTAATTCGGTTATGCAGGTTTCTTTCTACATAGCTTTCAAAGAGTTCCAGTGCTCATCCACACAGGTTTCTTCAGGGATGCTGCTCGATATCTCCCATTTTGTCCCGATGACTGCCTGATGTGAAGATTTCCTTTGTAGTTTCATGCTTCAGTTTCTGTTCTGGGTGTTGAACTTGAGCTATGGTCTATCACCAACTTCTCTGAAGGCCTTCAATTTGATTTTGAAGTTTCCTTGCACTGTATAGTGAGCGGTGTGAACCTACATCTGCTCCCCTTCTTCATCTGATCTTGTCTCCAGGAGACTGCATCTCCACCTTCTAGAGATTGAAATGAAGTCGATCTGATTTTTAGTGTTTCCATCTGGTGAAATCCATGTGGCTTTGTGAATATCCTTGTTTACGGATACTGCCTCCAATCACCAAATCGTTGAATGTGCAGAAGTTTGCAAACAATTCTCCATTCTCGTTCATTTCGCCAAATGCTTCTCGACGTATATCAAGAATGCTAATGAATATAGTTTGCTTTTTTTTTGTACCATAAACTTGTTATGTCATCAGTAAGTAGACTGATGAGATTCACACTACAGTTAACTAAGATAATGCTCGTCTGAATCATCAATTTTAAACATCGAATCCATAGTCAAGAAAGTATGAAAGCCCATCAAGAATACCAGATGGAAAGACAAGACTCAAATTCAGATCCTACCTTGCCTACTTCAATCTACACAACTAAGTAGTACCATGAACTTACATTCATCTTGGTGGAATTCAGGACGTGAGTTTCGTCCTAGTTGAGACTGGTCAGCTGATAGTACCTGCACTCCCCAGTGAATGATGTAGATTTAAACACTACATATGGCCAACAATTATGCGGAGTTTCACAGATTGTACACAGCACTTTGTTGATGCATTTTTACAACATTAATGCTGAAATGTATTGTAGACAAGTGTAAGTAGCTCATTATCTTTTCATTTTCATTATGCTTTAATCTACGCGCAACTAACAACTAGTGTAACAATTCCAAACAAATGTTGTCAGTAGACAAAAGGAAAACATCTACTATCTAGATGTGAAAACAATTTCACAAACTAAATATTTTTTTTATTATCGAATCATAAACAAGTAAACAAACAAAGTGAAATGCAAACAACACGTATTATATATACGAGAGTTGTTATCACCTAGGGGGCTTTCAAAATATCTTTGTATGTGCATCAAAACTAGACTATCAGTGAAATTAATTACACTGATTGTATCACACAGCCACACACACACACACACTTTTGGATGGATATGTATATATAGCACGAATATTGACTTGAAAAAAGAAAAATGCAACTTTTATAGAAAAAGTTAAGCAATCAGAATAATGTTAATGTTTAACTCCATTTTGATTGTTTGGTAGTTTAATTTTATATTCATTAAGTATTTGCTCTAACTGGTAATTATTACCAGAGAAGAATGCAGATGTGGCATTATGAAGAAGCATTAATTGATGTTGCATAACACGTAGCTGTAAAAAGAAATTGACACTAGATATTATAATTAAGAATAATAGTCTCAATAGTAGCATTCAATTAATGAACATCAAAAAATATAAAATAGTAAATGGACTAAATTTTACTGGTTGAAGAACAATAACTTGCATCTTTCCCATCAGGATGAGGTCGTTGGCTCATTGTGATATGCTAGCTCGACCACTGCCACATCAAGTCAGCCATCGGTAGTTATTATTCGCATAAGTTAGCATTGTTAACAGCGGTGACTAAATGCGCTGGATTCGAAACTACAGGTTGGCTGGCTGGCTTTAGGAAAAACAAATCATATGCAGATCAAATTGAAACACTACGCTAGCGATCATTATAGAAGAGAGCAGAGAATGATAGTCAACTCTCTACCTAAACTTCATCCACATTGAAAAAGGCCTCGATACCGTCGAACAAGAGGTCATTTGGGAGGCAACTGCTCCAACACTACAGTTTTTGTGCCACAAACCTTTATCAACCTCATCCAACAACAGATATATGCTATATGATACTACAAGCCAAGTGATTCACAATGGAATGCTCAGTGATGCCTTTCACGTGGAGACAGGAGTAAGACAAGGTTCCGCCTTCTATCACCGATCATCTTCCTCATTGTGGTCCACTTGACTGAACTGGATCACGCAACAAACTGTGAGGAGCGAAAAGATCGACATACGCTGTTTGACCGGTGGAAACACCCTACACAATTTGGATTTCGCCCATCACGATTCATGTCTAATGTCTTGTAGCACAAACTCGAAGATCTACTGGCAAAACCAACAAGTTGGCAGAAGAGATAAAGCAGCGAGGACGGGACTTCCCTCACGTGAACATAGACAGGACAGAGGTGATGAATATACTCAACCTACAACAACAACAACAACAAGCACCAATGACCATCAAAGGAGGAAATCTAAATGAAGTAGTTTCTTCCACGTACCAAGGCACCGTCGTTTCAACTACAGGGGGCACAGGCACAAATGATGAGGACGTCAAATCTAGGATTGCAAAGACAGACAGCGAGACAGGCCTTCTTTTCTTGGTTTTTCATCATCATTATCATCCATATTACAAACATTTAAGTCAACGCTATCAACGTTACCATTTTTATTCTTTGTGTTAATATCACCATCGTTGTTTTAAAACATTTATCATATTAACCGATAAATCTATATGATTGATTCAACTTTAATACACAATTAGCTATTTGTATTAGAGTCAAGCCCGAAGAGGATCTAATTGAAAACAATATCGTTCGCCTATATGTCTTGTTTTAACTTATGTAGGGGCATTGACAACTCTCGAGTGTGTTATATATTAAAAGAGAACGAAGTGACTCATAATTCCCGTAAAAAAAACTGAAAAATAAGTCATTGTATATATTAAAAGTCAAATATTATGAACGAAAAATATTCTTTTCAATAATTTCTTATCGGGTTCTACAGTTATAAAATCAATTTCGCTAACATTAATGGCCAGAATTTATGGCGAATGCATTCAGGAATGGGTATGGAATTATAATTAAAATTCGACTCAATAACGCCTATCCAGCGGTTCATTTTACAAAGTAATATGAAAGTAATAACTCTCTTCATTTACTTGATGTTCTACTGACAAGAAAAGAAGACGGTTCTTTGGAATGAAGTGTATTTAGGAAGACAATCAAAGCACAGTATGCACATTTCCTCAGTTTTGTACCAGTGAAGTACAAACGAAATGTTATCAGATGTTTAGCGTTTAGAGCTAGATCGATCTGCTCTGAGGAATGTATCGAGAAAGAATTACAAGTCCTCCAGGATATTTTAAAGGAAACTGGATATCTAGAGAAGTTTATAAAAGCAAACATTGCTCATAGTACTGAAAAAAACGAATTGACAAGCACGCAGAAAAAACCTTTTTTTCTGCGTCTGCAAAGGAGATACCTCGAGTGAAATTTTATCACGATGTCTATCCATAGAATGTTTTACTCAGGACGTCTATGTCTATCCTTTAATAGCCAGTCGTTGTTCAATCCGAGACTTAAGGATACCTTACCTAATTTCAGCTCTTCATTATGGATATAACATTCCAACTGTTTCTGTGGTACAAGTTATATACGGCGCACTATTGGACACGTCCGTCTCAGGATACGAGAACAACTACCGGCATGGTTTGCAAAGGGTGGCATCAAATCTATTAGAAATTCTGTACTACCACATCTAATAGATACAGGACACTAAATAGATGCTAGCACAGCTTTCACTGTGATACACCGCCTTCCGAAAACTCTACCATGTATCATTTGTTTACGCATTCTCCATATAGCGGAAGCTGTAGCTATAAGATCAACGAAACCTGAACTTTGTATTCAAAAGGAACACGTCCTCCCTTGGCCTTCTACTGACTAAGTGGTATCGCTTTAACCCTTTCGCTCCTTTCTCTTTTTTTCGTCTCCGCTCTCTTCCTTTCTTTCTTTTTCAAATAAAAAACGGAATTATCGTTAGTATTAATGCAATTATTTTTAACCTGGTTTTTTCCTGTCTTATTATTATTCCTGTCAAACTTTTTCACATTATTACTACTCTTATTATCTTACTCGTTTCACACACTAACCATCTTATGATGACATATCCACTCCATTTCTGCCCTTAGGCAAATTCATGTCATTCTTTGTACAAATCACTGGATACTCGACACAATGTGCAACCTTGATCTTTATTGATAATTCTCCTTCCCCATACGACTGATCACCAGTCGATTGACAAAGTTTACACTCAACTTATCACCACAATCGACATACATATACAAATTACACAATATTAAAGAGTCAAATTTCAATTATAATTCCATACTCATTCTAAATAGATAGAATTATTTCTTTTTGCTAAATATGGCCTTATTAATGCAGAAGGGTGCATGATTGAAGTAAAAATACATCAGCCATTTAATATACTTGAGGTAAGGAGTTATACACCATTGTAGTTGCGAGGATCGATCACTGAAAAGTAAGCAACAATTACATTAAAATCTTCATTCTAAATATTTTTCTTATCAGCTATCACAAAGATCATTGACAGGAATACTATACAGTATTGCGCATCAAATTACTCAACACACCTTAATTTTACAAAGTACAAAATAAAAAATTTATACTCCTTGAAAGTAACAGGTTAGTGCAACAAAATTTGTGTAAATAAAACTTGGCTGAATCAAGCAAGAAACGATACAGTGAAAGTAGGACAAAAAAGATACAAGTCAACAAACAGTACAAACTAGAGGAATGAAAACACATAAATGAAGATACAGTTAACGAAACTTTTCAACTTTTAGTATTAGTTATATTGGACAGCTTAAAAATAATGAACAGAGTTTTCCACAGGAGAAGAAACAGATTGGCAGGAAAAACAGTGATACTTAAAAGCAAACAAATTTACTTGGAACCTCGCACAGAATTGAATCGGTTCCAATCGACACACTTGATAACATTATACAGAGAGGAAGTGAATAGAAAAAGAATAATGCTGAAGCAGAAAAAGTAACCAAGAGGAAAGGGAGTAAATAAATGAAGGCTAGTGAAAACGCTCGAGATTTTGGAGATAATAAGGAGTGCATACATCAGCACCATCGCAAACGACTTTGAACCAAATCACCAAGATCTCGATCTGGTCACTCTTAGTTTTTTCAAACATAATTCTACTTTAGTATAATTGCTTGTATTATACCACCGTTGATCGGTCTATATTGGCATATGGGCTCCTGTGTGGATGCCTTGATATTACCTGTTTTCTAATTATAGTAATGATGAAGTGGTTATCGTGGCTCGGTTGTGTAGTGGAAAACGCTATGGCGTTTGAAGCTATCGCCCCGGATTCCGAATCCCGGTGGGAACAACACTCACTGGAAGGCAAGTAAATCCAGCTGACAAGTCCCAAGTGGGACGAAATGCGCATCCTAGATTCCACTGCTAGCCACTATCCATCATTACTACAATTCTACTTTGGTTAACATCACGAGTCAAATTAGGTGGTGATTTGGAATGTGAAACAATTTCTACAGCTGAGACTAAGCAATACTCACCGAATCGATCGAAGTTTACTCAGCAACCTTGTACACATTTGTGCAGCAGACAATGAGTTACACCTATTGTGTGAGAGTGCTAATGTACCTGGCTGCCTAAACCCAGGTAGACAGAGCGATGTTGGAACCTGTGATTCACTGGTTGAAATTCAACTATTCAACAACTCCATTCACCAAATACTGTTTAGGCACCAAAATTATTTTCGAGAAATGATAGACTCAACTCATGAACTATATGCAGCTTTATGTATGATCTTAGATTTTGCTGGTGATAAAAACCAACTTCGATTACTTTGATAAGCTGGACCAAATGATATCTTGTTCCTACCACTGTCCATTCAATAAGCCCAGTAACAAAATAATATACTTTATTCACACAACTGAAATGTGTGTGATCACAGTGCTGAGTATTTTCTCCATGTTAGTTTGCAAATATGCTGTAGTGACCAGCAGGAAATGTAGAATAAGGGTATCCAATTGTTTATTTTCAAATGTCTCGTGAAAATCGAACATATATAAATTTATAAATAGGATATGATCATTTGGTCGGTTGTGGATGGCAGAGGAATCCAGGATGCGCGTTTCGTCCTATTTTGGGGCTCGTCAGCTGGGTGCAACTGCAACCCACTGAGACTCGAACCTCGTACCCATCGCTTCAAACGCCAAGGAGTTACCCACTAAACCAATGAGGCATGATACCCACTTCTTGTACAACAGGTAGAAGTTATTACTATTTATTGATATACCTGTAATTCTCCGTTGATTTATTGGATCGAATTGTCCAACATCTATTGGCATATGGGCTCTTATGTGGATGCCTCGATATTGTCTCTGTGACATAGTGGATAATGCTATGGCGTTAGAAGCGATGGGGACGAGATTCGAGTTTCAGTGGGAACAATATCACTTAGCGCTGGGATGCAGGTACATCCAGCTGACGAGTCCAAAGTAGGACGAAACGCGCGTCCTGGATTCCTCTGCTAACCACAACCAACCAAATTACCATAATTAACATTCAGGCATTCTCATAGGAGCCCATATGCCGATAGAAGTCGAACAATTTAATCCAATAAAAAAACGGAGGATTTTAATTATATCAATATGTAGGATATGATCAATGAAAATTGCTACAGAATGTACTTACCCTATTATCTTGCAAGAATTCCAGTTTACAACACACAACTTTCTTAAGTTCAGCATACCGTCCACATGCTGCTTCTAATCGTGACTGAATATGACGGTCATCATGAATTTGATCCGTTATATATTGAGTTTTCTGCACAGTAATACCAGTATTATTGTTATCATTAACAGGTTTTTTATTTTTTAGCTGATTCGCTTCATTACGATAAGCATCATATTCAATTCGAGCTGAATACATACTGGCTACAGTATCCCATGTATCCGTAAATGCATGACCAATAAGCGTACCCAGGGAATTAACAAAATGATCTAATGATGCTAGAAACACACACAGAGAGAGAGAAAAAAAAAATCAAATTACGGACTACATACTGGCCTTTGTTAAAACAGGAAAGATTTTAGAACTAAAGAGCCAGATTAACATTATGAACGTTTTAAACAGATATTTTTAGTGTGAGAGCATTACAATTCCAAATGTATCAGTTGTACACCTACAATTAAAACTTTTTCTGAAAGAATTATTATAAGATAAATGTATGAGCGCTGTTCGGAACTGTTTGCATTGCTACTAGTTACTGCATGGAGAAGGTTCATAGGGTCGATTAATACTTACATTAATGTAGCATACTTATTTATATATGCTTCCCTCTTTTGGATAGGAATAAACACCTTTGACAAACTGCCTTCTTTTATTCTTGCTTTTATTCATACAATGTGTTAGTGTTGCAATGTAATTCCACTACATCCAGACAGATGATGAAATCCTACTTAGTGATTAACAGTAATTGAAAATTTTCAGTTCTATCAATAATCTCTTGTTGAGTTAAAGTTATCCGATTTTTATTCTCTTTTATAGTCAATAGTGGTATTAAGTCGAAGCAAAATATAGTTCAACTTAACATAGGTGTAAAACTTGAGTACTGTGGTAACTATAAAAGTCAAATGTCAAAAGTTGTATGATTACACATTGATATGATTATGAGCAATGATAATTTATGCTCAAAACGTCATCAAGTAAATAATACTGTATCACACTGTGTGCTGGTTATTATAAACAAATAAACAAATCTAATATGGAATTAAATTCTACCACAGTGCCCAAGTTTCACACCTATAATAATAAAACATATGATCTTCCTGTTCGAAGGCTAGTCAATAAACTCATACGACTTTCACAAAGTGAAGCACGTTTCACAAATTATCGTATTTTTAATGTTCGTTGTATAAAAAATCAAATTATCCCTAAATATTCTTCGTCTACGTATTCTAATATCCACTGACAAAATCAAAAGAGTAATAGAACATGCCAGCAAACTTTATCTCAAGGAAGAAATTCAGAGGATTATCAGGAAGTTAAGTACGATCCGGAATAAAGTTGAACAACTGAAATGTGAACGTATGAAGATAGTAAACAGTAGAGACTATGAACTTCTTATACCAAGATCAGACAAAGCAAGATCAGCTGCACTCAAGAAATCTAAAAACAATTAAATCAAAAAAGGTTCAGCAAATTAATACAAGAAAAAATATCTGTCGGAAGATGATCAAACTACAAATGAAACATCATCAAACATCTATAGAACAAAGTGGGTAGTCAATCTCTCCTCGACAACCCTAAGCTTAGCTGAGACGAAAGTACTCGAAAAAGGACTAAACTTCAATGTGACAACAGGTTATTTAAAACCAGATGTCATACCGAGCATAGAAGTAGCGTTAAGCTCGGTGGATGCAGCAACTGCTGAACAGGTAAGAGCACAGTGTGCCTTAACACTGAAAAGGCAAAAGAAGAGACAATAAAACTTAACAAAACTTGAAAATCCAGCTCTGAATAATCTACGGAATGACAATATGTCTTGTAAACTGGATGGTTTAAGAGGAAAACTAGTGATAATGCTCGATATACAGAAATGCCAGAAAGCATAAGGATAGTAAACCAAATCGGTAATTTCATCTTTTTACTAAATTCTTTATACTCGTGATTTCAACAGTTTGGCTCTTAGGATAGTAAACTTTCGATTGCATGGAAAATTAACCAGATAACACAACTGTAAGCTAACATAAAATGGCTACTTAACTGCCTTTCCGATTACTCAGTAATAAACAAACAATATAAATGAAATTTTTTCATATAAAACTGCTTGATTTTACACTCAGTAGGTAGGCAAATAGTGAAATTGAAGATGAACATTGAATTTATCATTTAAGTATGAAGATGATGTAATGTTTGCAAGCTTTATCCATTATTAGTTGCATACAACGTGATGACTTTAAAAATAAACTAGTACATTTTTCAAGAATGTATTTCAAATCTGCTCTCACTAAATGCACTGTGCTGTAAGCCGATATAAAACACAGGTATTATGGAGAGCCACAGCTACGGCTGGCCAATCCCTAAGATCAGTAACTTATAATATTTCCATATAATCATTGTAAAGTTTAAGCTTTGTTTTCGCGCCCCTTTTGCGGAATGTTAGGTTTCTTATTCTTACCGCAGTTAAGAATGCTAAACGCTGATTGGTCCATTTCGCACTTTGAATATCCTATATTGTTTTCACTGGCCAAGGCCATTTAGGGACATATAAACGACTGAGTTTTCACTTATTAGAACTCTGTTGGAGCGAATAAATTTTCGTTCTCATCGTCCTTTCTGGTGTCAGCTGAATATCGAGTTGAGAAGTCATTGTTCTATCGTTAATCGTATTCGTCTCGGAGCGTTGCATCACTATATATAGCGTAGGATCATAACAGCCACATCTATCCCAGTGAAATACTTCGAAAAGATTCTCCAGTTATATGACCTCAAGGACAATGTTTCTTTTACGTTTACCCGAGTGAGTTGTAGTATCAGCATCTGATCACTTTCTTGGTGAAGACACTGAATTAAGTGTTACGGCTAAAAGCTGTATAACACGACAGAAAAGAACTTCGATACCGTCGAACAAGAAGTCATTTGGGAGGCAACTGCTCCAACACTACAGTTTTTGTGCCACAAACCTTTATCAACCTCATCCAACAGCAGCTATATGAAATATGATACTACAAGCCAAGTGATTCACAATGGAATGCTCAGTGATGCCTTTCACATGGAGACAGGAGTAAGACAAGGTTCCGCCTTCTATCACCGATCATCTTCCTCATTGTGGTCGACTGAAATGGACTGGACTGGATCATGCAACAAACTGTGAGGAGCGGAAAGATCGACATACGCTGTTTGATCGATGGAAACACCCTACACAATTTGGATTTCGCCCATCACGATTCATGTCTAATGTCTTGTAGCACAAACTCGAAGATCTACAGGCGAAAACCAACAAGTTAACAGAAGAGATAGGGTAGCGAGGACGGGACTTCCGTTACGTGAACGTAGATAAGACAGAGGTGATGAATATACTCAACCTACAACAACAACAGCAAGCACCAATGACCATCAAAGGAAGAAATCTAAATGAAGTAGTCTCTTCCACGTACCAAGGCACCGTCGTTTCAACTACAAGGGGCACAGGCATAGATGATGAGGACGTCAAATCTAGGATGGGAAAGACAAACATGAAGACAGGCCTTCTTGCATTAATCTGAAATCAGTGTGGAGATCTAGTGCACTCATCACACAGAAGAAGATCCGGATTTTCAACACTAATGCCAATCTTGTCAGTGCTTCCATATGGTTCACAGACTTGGCTCGTTAAGGAGAGCATTTCCAACAAACTGCAGATATACGTCATCAACTGCCGCCTACGCTTAATTCATACTCAAGATCAGATCAGATGGCCAGAAAGAATAAACAGGAACTCTGCTCTGGTAACAAACCAACCAAGAACCCATCGCCTAACAAATATGCAGAAAAATAAAGTGGAGATGGATTAGATTGGATTGGGCATACACTGAGAAGACGGTTTTGTGACATCACGCGCCAAGCCTTTGAGTAGAACCCAAATGGTAAACGACGAGTTGGGCGTTCGAGGGTGACATGGAGGAGATCGTGTGAGGAAGAAATGAAAGGTTATGAGCAGTCATGGAGCCAGGTTAAGAAGACCACAGCGAAGAGAGTGAAGTGGCGACATGCTACTAAAGCCCTATGTTCCACTAGGAACCCAAGGGACAAATAATAATTATATATATATATATATATATATATATATATATATATATATGCAGCATGAAAAAACATGCAAACAATTCATACCCAGTAACTTTTCTCCATTTGAAATCACGATACGTTGTGTTTCTGTATTGTAGGTGAACTCATTGCTTAATTCGGGTTGTTGTACTATCAGAGTAGTCATATGATTTGCAAGTTACGCTGATGGCCAATAGTTTCCCGAAAACTATCAGCCAACTTTTGGGCAAGATTATGTAGTATTTTGTACTGCCGATGCATATTTCTATTTGAAGTAAACACATTACAGATTACCCAATACACTATGTTAATAAATTGGAAGAAAAATAAACAGTAGGATCAGTTTCAATCACTAAATGCTTAGACTGACATCAGTTGGAGGAACAAAGGAAACCTGGGAGCACTGGACAGCTGTTTCGTCCTAGTATGGGATTCCTCAGCAGTGCGATGAATAACAACTTGAAATAATTCCAAATCTCCACAACTCCCTCAAAATTTAAATGCTTAGAATTAATCAGTTATGATAGCCAGCTACTTGAGGACCTTTTCAGACTTCACATCATTTCTAATATGGCTTCGACAAATAATGACCGCCAAACATGAAAGCTGTTTGCAACACAAGCTGAATAAGAGTAAGTAGAAGAATTTCGCACTATATTTCAGGTATTCATCAATATGATCAAAAAAGTACTCATTATAGTTTTATAGAAATAAGAACAAGACTTCTTTATGGTAATGTCAATTGTATAAACCTTCGGAAAACTTTTAGGAAGTCATTAGTAGGTTATCTATATATTGACTTATAAATAACCTAGCCATGATACAAATCTATCATTCATCTGGAAAGTAACCTCCAGAAACAACTTCACAATAAACACTTCCATTATATTTTATACGGTAATTTGTGTGGGTTTTTAATGACCTCAGTGAAAAGAAAAGACTAAGACTGAGACACAACAGAAAAGCGCAAATGTAGATAGGAAAAATCATCGAGTACCTGAGAAACATATTTTCTGCTAAGTATTACCTATCTTTTGACAAAGAAGCCCTACTTGAATTCATTTGCGTAGGTTCACAACTAATAGCTAACTAGTGCTCTCTGTCAGAATATGAGTCTAGTCTTGGTGTTTAAGAGCCGCCGATTCTGCTAATTGTGGGGAATGTTTTGAAGAAGCCTGCAGGCGAATAAGCATAGTCCTCGAATATTTCCAAATTCCATTAAAATGTCTTACAACTGTAGACTAGCATAAAAAAGATCGCTATGCAGTATACTGGTCCATCGGTTAAAGGAAAAGTCATTAGTTGAACGAATAAAGGTTGATGAATACAAAAGAAAACTTCAATGCTTATATCAAAAATTCACGCAGTGTAAATTAGGCAACTTCAAAAGTACACAATGTCGTGAATGAGTTTCCATTGCCTCTTTAAATACCATTACACTATGTATTATAATACATCATTTACAGCATTACCTTACATGGACGGAACGCATAATAAATATACTCAGACCACTCTCTTGTACTTGGGGGACTACAGATTGTGTTAGTATTTCAATCCATTGTGATTTTTATGCACCTAGTTCAAGTTAATAAGAGAATCTCCAAATAGCTGATCAAACCCTACGAAGATAAAAGGTAATACAAGTTGCCCGCATTAGTGGTGATTATCTCCAACAAAATCTCAAGTGCCAACTGTCTTCAAGTTATTAACACAACTTTGTCATTTATGACACAGTATGTATTGTGTATGTACTTGATTATAAATTGCAAAATACTGTTACTTAATTGAAGTCAGTTGTAGAATTGTGACTCCCTGGTCTAGGCACTTGACTTCTGAGTAATGGTTGATGGATTAGAACCCTCTCCACCTAACGAGGTTGGAGTAGCCAGGCAGTATCAGTAACCCCTATACATTATGTATGACTCTTTGTCTAATCTATGAACGTACACGTGGTTGCTGAGTGTATTTCGTTCATTCTTTTTTTTTCCATCCAACTAATATCCATAACGATATAGCATCTGGTATCGCTCCATAGCGGTTTAAATAACTACAACTCAAATCAGTATATCAAGATACAAAGAAGCAGGGTGAATGATGGAGAAATAAGCAAGGAAAACGTAATTCAAGATAATGGAAAGTAATAGGAAGGAAATAAGAGATAAAAAAACACAACTGATTGCGATGTGATGATTAAGAAGGAGATCATATCTGGATGCCTTGGCGCCACTGATATAGATCCTCAGTAACATCACAGTCTCTAACTACTAGTTTCTGTTGTCACATAAATCCCAACCGGGAAGTTTGTATTCTTCTACTAGCACAGACCGATAGTTATAAAACTCATAGACTGACCCCACATTTTAGTCAAGCAACTTTAACCTTTTTGTAACCTGAATCTACCTTAAGTACCATTACGTGACCACGTTGACCAGGAAGTAGGTATATGTAACAAATACCCCGATCACATGTCCTTAAAAGTTTACGATCTAATCAAATAACTTTTTGTCTGAAAACATACGGTTTACTTTCACATCACCGGAATGGTGACACCATGACGCACGGCCTATGCGGTGAAAGCAACGATGGTCGAACATCTAAAGCTTCGTCATATCCTCTACATTTAATGGTCAATTTTCACAGCCATATGGTGGGACAAAGCGAACTGCAGCGCAGTACACACAACCCTTAATATGCATTCGGATATCACCCAGGTATCATAAACTGCGTTGTATGGCGGAGGTCCAGTAAGCCGTTTTTGTCCACACAGAGATTTCGTCAGTCACTAACACATCAGGGATGTCCTGATTTCTCAAGTAAGTCAAGTGGGCAATGTACTCAAGCAATTCACTCTCTTTTGTTAGACGCCGCACCAACGCAGATGAGTCTTGCAGCGAAAATTGCCATTCAGGTTGTGAGAAGCGCACCACAAAAAAATTTCAAATCATTATTAATGATGTTCATAAAACTCTATACTTTTCATCACCTTCATCTAACATGACCGTCATTTGCATATTCTACACATACTGAGCAGTCTCGTATAACACGTCAATCTTTCTAAAGTCAAACCACCGGGAGAAAACCTGCATAATAACATCTATTACGAAATAAAAAGAGGATGGGGAGAGCGGGTATGGTAGATGTATACAACTAACATAATATCTTATCATAAGCCCTAAAAAGATGGAAGATATTCGAAACCAGTCTTCAGTGGAGTGGTTTACTTACCCGGCAACCTTCATTAAGAGACACCAATGTACGACATCTCGATTGACAGAGTTCAGTGTCACCAACAAGCAACCATAAAATCCCTATCTTTTAACTTTGAACTTTCATGACGCTTTCAGTTATGTCAATGATCTTAGCAAAGATTTATCTATCGAGATAACAAAACCATAAAGCAAATCTACGATTTCTAAACGTTGACATTTTCAGTAGGGTAACTTTTCGCCATCGAAGCCGGATACTATAAGTGTCTAAGGCATAGTATGATCACTGCGTCCATTATAACAATTTGATGCGATATATATATATATATATATATATATATATATATATATATATATATATATATATATAGAGAGAGAGAGAGAGAGAGAGAGAGAGAGAGAGAAGAGAAAGAGAGAGACAGACAGATTCACTAAACTTAGAGTGCTTTCTGTTTAAAGACTCATCGATACGTGATGTATAAGAACACCTACCCCCAACCCTTCCGACACCTTACTTGATACCAACGATAAGAAGGCCAAGTTACTATCGGTTCAATAAAAAAGATCTATAAAATATCATAGCAAGTTATGACAAGAGTAATTCATGTGCCAAATCATAATCACATCCGTGAAACAACATTCATACGTGCCAGTTACAAGGAATAAAGGAGTCCTTTTTTCAAAAATACATATCAGAGGAACTCAATTTTATAATTGTTTTGAATTCACAAGAATTGTAAAAAAAAAATTAGTGTATGGAAATAATGAGACGAAAAACGATTTTTCTTAGCATGTTTCCTCATAGTTTTTAATTAGAATCGATAAGTTCTGAAACTTCAAGCTTTACAGTATTAATGACGATGCCAAGATTGCTTTATAAAAGTGGTAGCTGACCTGAAATATCTTATTACTATGGTACTTAAATGATCAAGGAACTAACGACTGATGTGTCTAGGTTAAGCTATGGTGGTGAATAACATTTTCCTAAAATTGAGACTCAACATAACATGAAAAATCTAATGAAAGCATTAGGCTGTACAGCTTTTCTCCTGAAGTCTTTGCATCTTGAAAAAACCAAACACTATTATGCGTTTAACCAGTCTTTATCAACGAGCTTACAAGATGATTTTGATTAAGGATTAAATAAACTATAGAAAAAACTATACTGAGTGATGACTTAAGGTGAGATGGGAATCTGGACCGCGGACGGATTCGAACCAGCGACCACCGGGTTACCGTCCCGGTGCTTTACCAACTGAACTATGAGGTCCGACTATTGGCCACATTTCAGTCTGGCGAAACCCTTGATGATTGAAGTGAAATAAAAATGGAGTCAGCAGTCGGACCTCGTAGTTCAGTTGGTACAGCACCGGGCCGGTAACCCCGGTAGTCACTGGTTTGAATCCGGCAGCGGTCCAAATTTTCATCTTACCTTCAATCATCACCCAGTATAAATACTAGTATACCATGCTACGGCTATCTTAGATAGTAAGATGATAAAAAAAATACACTACTTTTCAAGAATTTGAAACAATTCGTCCCTTTTATGAATTTGGATAGTGTAATTAGAAGACGTAGATTATCTGAACAATATGTGATGTATTAGCGCTATACATTTCGAACAATCTGATCACACATATACCGTTCCCCGACCGATAGCTGCTACCTTGACGTGGTGGTCGGGCTTGCATATCACAATGACCCAACGAGCTATGCTGGTGGAACGCTTGTTCCCTCGAGGTCCTACCATACCAGAAAGGTCTGTTGGGTAGTGGTTAGACGAAAAGCAGTTACCGTTATAGTGTAAATTGCTACACTATGATGGGGGTCTGAGGGCGAAGTCGTACTGCTGCTAGCTGGATGGGGTGTGACAGCAGTAAGGTGTTTCCCTTGGATGACCAGCAGTGCCAAGCTGATGCTGCCTTCTCAGTGGAAGGGGGGGTTAGAAAAGGTCGGCCCCAAAAATAACACACTCCACCACGCCCCACGGTCTGCCGGGCCGGCGGTGTTGGTTCACTTGTCGTTTCCTTTCGACTCATCCGGCCCCAAAAATACAAAA